ATACGTCTCCCTGTATGCGCTCATTCTCCTAACGGGGAATTACCTCAACAGAAACCTGGGGAAAAGACCAGTGGGGGGATTCAGCCAGTTCGCACCAGTTTGGTAGAACCAGTAGCTAATTTTTTTGGAGTTCGGCAAACCGGCTGAATAGCCTTCCTCCACCCCACCATCCCTCCCCACCTGCCCCCCCATTGCATCGATAAAGCAGGCAGGTGGCTAAGCGAGGGGCAGGAAACCCTGCCATGCCTGGTGAGCGGGGGAGAAAAGACGGCAAGAGGAGTCCCATCTCGCTCCATGTGCCCCAATGAAAGGCAACAGCATCCTGGTCACTTCCCTTCCTGGCACTGGAAGCCAACTGTCAGCCACGTGCCCAGTCACCCTCTCTCTCTCCCTCTCTATCTTTGTGTGTGGGTGTGGGTGTGTCTGGGCTCACCCGGTGCCACAGTCCACCACGCAGGTCGGGAGCTGTCCTGCCATCCTCCACAGGTTTTGAGATGCTGCTGAGGAAAGGTGCCAATGACCCCCTTCCTCCCCTCCCCCCTCTTTCCACTCTGGGGGAGTGAAGGCACCACTTCCACAAATGAGCGAATCACTTCCTTACCCCAGCCTTGGCTTACCTCCCTTGCCCCCGCTTGCAGATGCACAGCCCCAGCAAGGAAGCCCAAGATGGCTACCTCTTCTGTTGTTTGCTCCTCCCTGAACACAGGCATGGGATGGGCACCATGGAAAGAGGCAGAGTGGGAGGATGCATCAAACCAGAGGCATTTACGAGAAACGCACTGTTCAGGGATGGAAGAGATGCAGGTGGGCACTGCCCTCACATTTCTTCTTCTTTCACTTTGGCGGGGGGGACTGGAGGTGCTCGCTGTCTTGAGTCACCCTCCTCACTTTATCCAGTGACAGAGATGGCATACTATGAAGCCATGGTTTAATTACAGCATTCAGCACTTGATGGAATCCTCTTTCTTTTACCACCTTTCCTGGGCCACCTGGGTGGTGGTGTGTGGGCCAAGTTCCACAGCGCTATGTGGCACTGCAATGGAGAAACGGGCAACGGAGCGGCTGGCATGAGGGAAAGCCGCTTTTCCTCTTTCTTTTCCCTATTCCTCCTCCTTCCCTCGTGCCTGACACTCTACTTCTCATTTCTCCTTTACAGCATAGCACCCAGGATCCACTTTGATAGTGTGTGTGTGTGGGGGGGGGTGTAATTTAACAACCAGTTCACCCAGGGTCAGGTTGGCTGTCACAGGAGGCTCATCTCACATGTGCAGCGAAGCTGGAGGATGGGCCACACCTTCCATGAAAGCCAACTTGACTCTGGGCAAACCAGTTGTTAAATTATTTGAACCCCACCATTGGAAAATACCTATTGTTACAAATAATTCTCATGCATAAAAATAGAAGTTATTTCTGCATTAAAATGCTTTAATTTTTATTAAAAAGAGAATATGGGAGAAATTTAGTAAAGGGCATGAAGTAAAGGGCATATACTGCTAAAGTATATGGCATGGGACTCAAGCATTCATATGAAATTGATGAAGGAGAATATTTGTAGCTCAGAATTGAAATGAGGAGTCCTTGGTGCTCTTTAGGCTTGGCTGTTTTCTTGCCGACATTTCATTATCCAACATGTTATTGTTACCTAGTTTAGGTAATTCAATCGGCAAGAAAACAACCAAGCTCGGAGAGCACCAAGGACCACTTGTATGAAACCACCAGTCATGAGGGTCAAGTCTCTACATAGCAGACATCTCAAAGATCGCACATATGGCTTATATTCAATAATTACTGTAGCATATATTTTTGCTGCACAGAATTCCTCAAATCTATTTATAGTTTTGTAAGTAGAAACATCTTAAATAAATGTGTGTCAATAAAGTCTAGTCTAGAAAGAATCAGTTGCTATCCTCATGTTATTATTTTGAAAATCCACTTGTTCCCTATAAACTTTGTTAGAATTGGGTGACAAATAAATTGAAATAAATAATTAATAAAATATCACCAACTCCCATAGACTATGGGTATTTTTGGTATTAAATAACCCAGATAAGGTAGATTTTTTCATTTTGATCCTGAGTACTTGATTACATTCCTCAGAAACTTTGGCTCAGAGTTTTAATGTTGTCAGTTTCTACTTCTGAAAAGTAGTAGTTTCAGCTGATAAAAAGTTGGTGACATTAGGAACACATTTTGATTGTTCATCTCTTATCTCCATACATTAAGATGATCAAGGATACTTCTAATTATAACCTAATAGGGACTTCCCAAAATAGCATTTTATATTGTGTAACTAATTCAGAGTAGCCACACTGCTAATAAATATTATAAAAATCTTAGATTGGCCGATCCAGAGCTATGAAGTGGAAAATCTGAAAAGTTATCACCTTTCTAACAATGTATAATATGGTGGCAGGATAGCCATAAGAATAACAGTTGCCATTTTTTCAAAGACTAGGCTATTTTCTGCATAAAAATCAAGTTAACAATCAAACAGTTTCTCATAATTCAGGGCATGCCTCTTGTTTTCTTTACTCCAATATTTCTTGGGCACAGCCTTGATTCACAGAGAACCTTGAAGTCATTTTCCAAAAATGACAGAAGTGGAAGCACTTTGATTTCACTCAAGACAAACCAACTTCCTGGTGATCATCATCTAATATAATTTATTCTTCAGATGCCCTATTCTTTATTGGCATACTTTATTGGTACTGTAAGAATTTTAACATAATTATTTTCTTACCTGATAATAGAATATGCTACTGCATGTAAGCTGCAACTATTTTCAAGATTTACCTGTAATTGAAATCTTTTGCATTTTTCCTCCTCTGGAAGAGATAATATATATTCTTACTTTATTTCTATTAGCCTCGCTATTCTTCAATTAGCAATTTTTTTCAATGGAAATACCCCAGATTTTTTGACACATTTTCATTGTTATGAAGTGTTGAAGGCCACTTCACCTTCTGACTCTCTTATATTTACATTTTTTAAATTTGGTCTAAGGGGCAATTCAGCGAGGTTGTTGACTGTAGATCTCTAGTACAGATATTAAGTTTGCTGTTTCCTCCAGGCTATCACAAGTCTGATAAAACATATTTTTATTATGTAAATACTTTCCAGACTCTTTTAGATCCAGTAGATCTTCCTGTACTCATCTCCAATATTCAATTTCACAAAGAACTTTTCCATATCTGAATATATAATATGGAAAATCAAAAAAACCAAATATACTTTTGTGAACAAAAATAGCAAGATGTGCTAAAAATGGGAATATATGGGTGTTATTATGTTCTTTTTGAAAGATTTTAAAATAAGTCTATCTAGTGCTATTCTTATTTTAAAATGTTTCAAAAAGAAAATATAATACAGCAGGAAAAAGTAGAAGTTTGGCACAAGATACTCCTAAAATATTTTTTTCTTAAAAGCAATTAATTTTTTTAAAAAAGCAAATGCATACCATTAGAAATAAAAGAACATAGTGCAATTCAAAGAAAGACTTTAACCAAAATGTGATAAATGCAATGTTTATTTTTCTTCAATATTTATTCCGCAAAGTAGTATATTCTTAAAATATTTTCTTGTGTTTACATATGCTTTAGTAATCAAAATAAAGAACATTAAATCCATGAATATAAGAAAACAAAAATGTACAATTACTTTGCCCAAAAGAAACAAATGAACCAGAAGTGACATTAAATTAATTTTTATTCTGAAAAACCACTGAATGCAAATTCAAATGAAATGTTACTACTGGTAAAATGTTAGGTGTTATAAACACATTTCTGTGGTATTCTACTATCTTTTCAAATGATTATTTCACAAAATTTAGCAGGAGATCTATGGGCTCATAAATCTACACTTGACCCTTGTCTCCCTGACTTCATTGTTTACAAACCATGTCATTCCCTGTCCAAAACCCACTCCTGGGACCTTAGCAATTGAAACACAAAGCAGCAACATTTCTAAACCCAAACAGCAAATGCAGTCAGATTTCATTTCACTGAATATCTAGGCCTCTTTCAGTGCAGAGAGAAAAACAAGAACCACTATTTTATTGGATAAATTAATTGGGGGTGGGGGCAAACACTAGTAGATCCAAATTCATTGGTTCAACATTTTACCATAAAAGCATAACCATGGAAACATACAATTATGTACCATTAAGTAATTTATTATACACTGTTTCAGTAAAAGCTATGTAATTCTCATATTTTAAGAAATAAGAGCCATTCTTGGAAAATGTATGTAAATACTTCAGATCAAATTTGAGACTACTACATCAAAAGTCAGATGCTGTGGAAGACAAGCTATGTTTTCCCCCCTTTCCTTCTCCAAATCCTTTAGCAAAAATACCAACTTCACAGCCATGCCTGCCAAAGGAAGAATCTTCAGAGAACAGGCAGTTGGAGGTTTCCCAAAGCATCCCTCTGAAAACTAAGCTTGCCCTCCTCCTTCAGGGCACCCAGACCCATCATATGGCAAAATGGATGCTTCACAACAATCTTAGCCTCCTCCTCCTCCTCCCAGACCAATCCGATGAAGAGGAAGGAGTCTGGATTACAGTGAGCAAGGCCTTCCTCTACCGTGGTTTCATCCAAACCCACATCAGTTTTGCTTTCCCATCTCCCGGGTCTCTACCGAGCATCCTCTGAGGAGGAGACGGGTATCTCTGGGCCGGAGCTAGAACGTTCCTTCCGCCCTGAGCTTCAGCAACCTGTCACCCATGGGCAGCCCGCTGCTCCGCTCTGCAGGGTCTGCCCAGTTCAGCACCAAATCACTCCCTGGCCTCGCAGCAGGCAAACCTGCGCCTGCTCCGCCTGACTTAACCTTCAGTCCTCCTCCCTTCCCGGCGCAAAGCGTCGGCGGGTGGAGTGGGTGGGGGGGGCGCGGCGTTGGGAAGGGAAGGAAAACAGCAGCGGCGGCCGCGACATATCTCCCAGTTCTCTTTTCTAGCTCCGGAGTTTGTCCCCACATTTGTTTCCGATCACAAAGCTCCTTACCTCCGCTTCTTCTCCTGGGGTTTTAGCTGTTTCAGTGGACCGGGCAGCCTCGCTAGCAGAGCAGCAGCTGCTGCCTTTTCTCCCCTCTTGCAGCTGGAGCAGATGACGACCCCCCCCCCCCTCCCTTTCGTCCGTGTCCTTGCAGCGTACGTATATGGCAGGCTCTGGCAGCGGCTCCGGGTTGACAAGGAGGAACCGATATACGTCCGTTACCAGGCGTCCTTCCCTGCCCTGCTTTGCCCAGCCCTGCCGTCTTCCTCCCTTCCTCCTCCTCCTCCTCCTCCTCTTGCTGCTGTCGTCGCCGCCGCTGCGGCCTGACGTCTAAGCAGCCCTGGTTTCCGTCAGTCTTTCTCTCGCTCCCTTTTGGGGAGGGAAGAGAGGCGGGGCAGGGCAGTAAGAAGCTCAGCGCCTGGGCCCGCCTCCAAATTGGTGGTGGGTGGCTAGGGCGCATGCCTGCCACCGGCGGGAGAGGCGAAGGCCAGAGCGGGTGGTGGCACGCGCCACCGACCTCGGCGCGGCGCGCGCAGGCAGTAGGCGGGCAGGCGCCCTTTCCCCTCCTCTCCCAGGCAAACACATCTCCGAGAGGCAGTAGGACGGCGAAGAGTGGCGTTGATCCATTGGAGGAAAAGAAAGGCGGGATTGTGTGTTTTTGCTGGTGTTCTGAGAGGGGACCGAGAGGGCAGAGAGAAAAAGAAGCCGGGGGAAAAAAGAGAAGCCGGGGGAAAAAAAGAAACGGGCAGAATTAAGAGAAATAGCTATAAAAAAAAGACCTAGAAAACCTAGAATTACGCCGCCTTCGGTCTGATCTAAGTATGGTATATAAAATCATACATTGCAATGACTTACCTGTCAATGAATACTTCAGCTTCAACCATAACAACACAAGAGCACACAATAGATACAAACTCAAGGTTAATCGCACCAAACTTGATTGCAGGAAATACGACTTTAGCAACAGAGTGGTCAATGTCTGGAATGCTCTACCTGACTCTGGTTTCTTCCCCAAACCCAAAAAACTTTAACCTTAGACTGTCTACTATTGACCCTTCCTAAAAGGTCTGTAGGGGGCATGCATAAGCGCACCAACGTGCCTACTGTTCCTGTCCTACTGTTGCTTTTATTTTTCTTATATGTACCCATTTCATGTATTCATAACTATGTACTGTATATACTTATACCTATTATCTTGTAAGCGATTGACAAATCACAATAAATAAAAAAATAAAACTGGAGATGGTCACCATCCAGAAGTCGTATATTTCATTTGGAATGGCCCGTATATGTGAGCGAAGGATTTGTTGCCTTAAAAACCGCTAGGATAAATTGCCAGGGCTATCTAATTTCATCCTCCTCCAATCATCCCATAATGTGTTGTAGTACCATAACAATGTCAAGTTGTCTCAGCGGTGGAATGCTTACTACTTTCCCTAATGTCTTGAAAATATAAGCCAAGATAGTTTATTCTGTTTTAGTAGGATGAATCATTCTAATCACACTTAATGATTTATTTTTAGGACTCTGGACTTTATATACATTGCAGAAGGTACTATTGCAGATAGCAGCTTTTCTGATTAAAGATACCATTGAACATAATAGGAAAGAATTAGATGAACATGTTTCCAAAAACCTGTATGTTTGCACAGTTGGACCGAGTTCTTCTGGGAACCTGTTATGCCCAGTGTCCTATAGGATATTGTCCCTAGTAATTACAGCCTATTGTACATGTACGAGTGCCTCTCAGTGGGGCTTCCCTGAAAGATTGATGCAGGTCATGTTAAAGGAAAGTGGATGGTAGTGATGTTTCCACAATGTCCTTGCCATGCACTGTCATGCACTGCAAAAGGGGTTCTTGTCCCAGAGGATATTCTTAGATTATCTTTCTCAGTCCTGCTTGCTCTTTCATCCTGTTGCTTGTTAAGATTTTCCTCCCTTATTCCTCTGTCTGGTTCTACATTTCACTTGCTGTGATTCATTTGTCTTTCTTGATCTTTAGTTTCTCTAACTTGCTTTTCTCACTCTTCCCTCATGTTTTCTCTTGTCTCACTATTGCTGTTGCTCACTTAATTCTCCCTCTTCTGTTTCTTGCACTTTATAGTTTCTGATGCTCCCTCTTATTTTCTTTTTCTTACTTGCTTGGCTGTCTCATGCTCTTGTTCATTCTGTTGCACTAATCAGTCTTGCTCATATCATTTGTTCATCTGTTGAATTTACTTGCTTGTTTTGTATACCTTTTCATTCCCTCACTTGTTCACCTCTTGCCTATAAAAACAACTGGCAACAAAACAATGCTTTGGTATGTGAACTACATAGTAGTTAAATCCCTTTTTTACACACAATTATACAAAGACAACATAATATCTGATCAGAGTTTGTGACAAGCATATGAGAACAGATGTTCAGATAACAGATTTAACAGATTAACAGAGTTGAAAAGGATCTTGTAGGTCAGCTAGTCCAACCCCCCCCCCCAGCAGGTGACCCTATACCATTTCTGACAGATGGCAGTTCAGACTCTTCTTGAAAACTTCCAGTGATAAAGCTCCCACAACTTCTGAAGACAAGCTGTTCCATTGGTTGATTGCTCTTGCTGTCGGAGTCCTTATTTCCAGATTGAAGCTCTTCTTGTTCAGTTTCCATCCATTATTCCTTGTGTGGTTTTCAGGTGCTTTGGAAAATAGCTTGACACGCACCCACCCCCCACCCCGTGGCAGTCCTTCAAATATTGAAACACTGCTATCATGTCTCCCCTGGTCCTTCTCTTCACTAGACTAGCCACACCCAGTTCCTGCAACTGTTTATTGTATGTTTTAGCCTCCAGTACCTTAATCATGTTGGTTGCTCTTCTCTGCACTCTTTCCAGAATCTCAACATCTTTTTTATAATGTGGTGATCAAAATTGGATGCCGTATTCTAGATGTGGTCTTAGTAAGGCTTTATAGAGTGGCATTAGTACCTCATGTGATCTTGATTGAATCCCTCTGGTAATACAATTTAGGATTGCATTGACTTTTTTGGCTGCCGCTGCAGACGATTGAATAATATTTAATTGGTTGTCCACTAAGACTCCAAGATCCCTCTCACAGTTACTGCTATTAAGCGTGGTTTCACCCAGTCTATATGTGTAATTTTGGTTTTTCTTGCCTAAGTGTAAGATTTTACTTTTCTCTAACATTGAATTTTATTTTTTTGGTTAGGGACCAGTGTTTAAGTCTGTCATGATCCATCTGGACCTTGAGCCTATCATCTAGGGCCATGATGGCAAACCTATGGCACGTGTGCCACAAGTGGCATACAGAGCCATTTGTGTTGGCACATGAGCTGCAGGCAAACTTACCCCACTGCACATGCGTGTGCCTCACAGCTGATTTTTTCCCCGGTTGGTTTGAGGCCTTTTTCAGCCCCCCAGAGGCTTGTTTTTAACAAACCCATGCTAGCTTCTAGTTATTTTATTTTATTTATTTATTTTATTTATTTGTCAATTGTTTACGAGATAATAAGTAAAAGTGTATACATAATTATGAATACATGAAATGAGTACATATAAGAAAAATGAAAGAAAAATAAAAGAAACAATAGGACAGGGACGGTAGGCACGTTGGTGCGCTTATGCACGCCCCCTACAGACCTCTTAGGAAAGGGGTGAGGTCAATAGTAGACAGTCTAAGGTTAAAGTTTTTGGGGTTTGGGGAAGAAACTACAGAGTCGGGTAGAGTATTCCAGACATTGACCACTCTGTTGCTGAAGTCGTATTTCCTGCAATCAAGCTTGGTGCGGTTAACCTTGAGTTTGTATCTGTTGTGTGCTCTTGTGTTGTTATGGTTGAAGCTGAAGTATTCATTGACAGGTAGGACATTGCAATGTATGATTTTATATACCATGCTTAAATTAGACCGAAGACGGCGTAATTCAAGGTTTTCTAGTTCTAGAATTTCAAGTCTGGTGGCATAAGGTATTCTACAACGAGTAGAGGAGTGGAGAACTCTTCTTGTGAAATATTTCTGGACTTTCTCAATTGTGCTAATATCAGATACGTAATGTGGGTTCCAGACTGATGAGCTGTATTCGAGTATTGGTCTAGCAAATGTTTTGTATGCTCTAGTTAGTAGTGTGATATTACCAGAGAAAAAGCTACGTAAGATTAGGTTAACAACTCTTAATGCCTTTTTGGCTATGTAGTTGGAGTGGGCACTAGCACTTAGATCATTAGAGGTGAGTATTCCAAGGTCCTTTACAGAGCTTGGATCATCAACGAGATCTTGACTATTCAGCTTGTATTTTATTTTCGGATTTTTTTTGCCAATATGTAAGACAGAGCATTTATTTGTTGAGATTTGAAGTTGCCATTTGTTTGACCATTCTGATACACAGTCAAGATCTTTTTGAAGGGTAGCAGTATTGTCTGTGGTATTGAACAGCTTTACATCATCAGCGAAAAGAACGCAGTTGCTCTTAATATGATCACAGAGGTCATTTATGTAGAGTATGAAGAGAGTTGGTCCTAGAACACTGCCTTGGGGGACACCACTATTGACAGGTACAGAATTTGATAGGACACTCCCAATTTTGACCATTTGTTGTCTGTTTGACAGGAATGCTTCTATCCAGTTATGCAGTTGTCCAGAGATACCATAGGATTTTATTTTTAGTAGTAGTTTGTCATGTACCACTGAATCAAAGGCTTTACAGAAGTCTATGTAGATTGCATCTATTGCTTTGCCCTGATCGAGTTGTGTAGTCCATATGTTTTTGCAGTGTAAGAGTTGCAGATTACAGGATAGTTTTTTTCTGAAACCAAATTGTTTATTGGAGAGTAGGTTGTTTGTCTCTAAGTGGAGGATGATGGATTGGTTAATAATTGATTCCATGACTTTACAGGTGACGCAGCATAAGGAGATTGGTCTGTAATTTTCAACTAGGCAAGGGTCTCCCTTTTTGAAGATGGGGATGACTGTGGCTTGTGACCATAGGTTAGGCAAGGAACTGGTCCTGAAAGATTTTTCAAAGATTATGCTTAGAGGTTTGGCTATGGCAGTGGATAACTTTTTTAAGAAATAGGCACATATTCCATCCGGTCCAATAGATAGGGATGGTTTTAGATTGCGTAGTGCTTTTTCAACATTGTCTTCTGTAAAATCGATATGTATTAGATCACTGTAGTTATCTGTGGTTCGGCTAGGAAATACTGGGCATGATCCATTGCTGTTTACAAATACTGAGCCAAAAAATGTGTTAAAGATGTTGGCTTTAATGGTGTCGTTGTTGCAGTCTTTACCATTAGGTCCTATCAGGGGTGGGATGGACCTTGAATCTTTTAGTTTGTTGTTTACAAAATTGTAAAAAGCATTGGTGGAATTGGTGCTTAGAAGGTTTTCCTCTTGTT